CACACACACACACACACACACACACACACACACACACAAGAAAATCCCTTCTTTCACAGAGCTACATTATGTGTGTATGCACCTTTGTGAGTAAATGTGTGCCATATGTGTGTTGGAGCCCTTAGAGTCCAGAATAGGATATCAGACTTTCTGGAACTGGAGTTATAGGTGGTTTTTATCTGCCATCTGAGTGCTGGGAACCAAACCTAGTTCCTCTCCAAGAGCACTAAGCATTTTTTTTTTTTTTTTTTTTTTTTGAGACATGATTTCCCTGTGTAACAGCCCTGGCTGTCCTGGAACTCATTCTGTAGACCACGCTGGCCTTGAATTTAGAGACATTCACCTGTCTCTGCCTCCTGAGTGCTGAGATTAAAGGCATTTGTGTTCCACCACTGCCCAGTAGCAGTAAGCACTCTTAACCCCTAAGCCATATCTCCAGCCCATCTTTTCTTCTTTTTCTTTAATTTAATTTTAAATTATGTGTGTGAGGGGCTTGGGGGTATTTGTATGTGTATGAGTGCAGGGGCAGAGGCTTCAGATTCCTCTGGAGCTGGAGTTACAGGTGGTTGTGAGCTGCCCATTATGGGTAATGGTAATCAAAGCTGTGTTCCTACATGAACACCAAGTGCTCTTAACCAGGGAGCTTTAGCTCCAGCTCTTGGTTTTCAGAAATTTCTGACTTTTTTTTCAAAATAGAGTCTCACTATTTAGAGACTGGCTTTGACCTCACAAAGACTACTTGCCTTTGCCTTCTGAGTGTTGATGTTAAAGCATTTACCACCCTATCCAGCTTTGTTTTCATTAATTTCTAATAATTTGTCACAAATTTTTGGTACTATATTTTAGGATATATATGGGAAGAACAGAATATTGAAGATGATTGCAAAAATTTTGGAAGATATCAAAGGTAATTTGCATATATAAGTGGAAGTAAATGTCTCTTGTAGAAACTTTAACGTGCCATATAAATTTAACAATGATCAAAAGAAATAACTTTTATTCATCATTAGAAAAATATGTACCTTGGTGTAAGAATGCTACTCAGTTTGAAACATAATTCACTTGGACCCTGTGTCAGTGACATTCACTAGTTATAGCTCTGTGGGAGGTCTGTTGTAGAACCCTCAGTCTGTTTAGTTTCACACCGTTCAGATAGGGCAGAAAGAATACAGTGAAAGCAGTGTCTGACCTAGGCCTTAATAATAAGCAATCATTAGAAACTAACTTGGTTGTCTTTTTTGTTTGTTTGTTTGTTTGTTTTTTTGAGATGGGATCTCTCTGTGCAGTCCTGAACTGGCTTTGTAGACCAAGCTGACCTCAAACTCACAGAGATCTGCCTGCCTCTGCCTCCCGAGTGCTGGGATTAAAGGTGTGCACTACCACTGCCCAGCATCTTTTGTTTTTGAGACAGGGTCTCACCATGTAATTCTGGCTGGCTTGGAACTCATTCTGTAGATCAGACTAGCCTCTAGCTCACAGAGACCCACCTGCCCCTTGAGGGATTAAAGACATGCACCACCAAGCCTGGCTGTTTGTTATTTTTTGCAGAAGTTGTATGTTAGACAGTAAAGAGGGTAGTCAGGGTGACAAAACCTCAACCCTTGTGCTGAACTTAAATATGAGCAGCAAGCTTCCCACTGAAGTTAAGCTCTGTGAAAGTTTTCATGTGTCATTCATTCCTTAATAGGCATCTCACGTCTCACTCTGAATACATGCCATATGAACATGAGGAATATGGAAACACACCATATGATTCCAGTTCTCTCACAAGTATTCAAGGATACATGGCTGCTCACACTGTTAATGGACCTTGTGAATGTGAGGTATGTTTAAAATCCTTTGGTTTTTCAAGTACACTTGGAATATATCACCAAACTCACAGTGGAGAAAACTTCTATGACTACAAGGAATGTGGAAAGGCTTCTGTTTATCATAGTTCACTTTACACACATGGAGGAACTCACACTGTAAGAAAATGTTACGAATGTAACCAGTGTGGTAAAGTTCTGAGTTCTTCCAGTTCCCTTCAAAGGCATGAGAGAATTCACACAGGAGAAAGACCCTATAAATGTAACCAGTGTGGGAAAGCTCTGAGTTCTTCCACTTCACTTCAAAGACATGAGAGAATCCACACAGGAGAAAGACCCTATAAATGTAACCAGTGTGGGAAAGCCTTTAGATGTCACAGTGCCCTTCAGTTACACGAAAGAATTCATACTGGAGAAAAACCCTATGAATGTCAGCAGTGTGGGAAAGCCTTCACATGTCACAGTTACCTGCGATTACATGAAAGGACTCACACCGGAGAGAAACCCTATGAATGTAAACAGTGTGGCAAAGCCTTCAGATGTCAGACTTCCTATCACAGACATAAAATTATTCATGGTGGAGAAACATTCTATGAATGTAAACAATGTAGTAGGCTCTTCATTTACCCCTCTTTACTTCAAATGCATGAAAGAACTCACACTAGTGAAAGACCATATAAATGTAAGCAGTGTGGTAAGTCATTCCTTTACCCCTCTTTACTTCAAATGCATGAAAGAACTCACACTGGAGAGAAACCCTATGAGTGTAAAGAATGTGGCACAGCCTTTAGACATCACTCTTCCCTTCGACTGCATGAAAGAACTCACACAGGAGAAAAGCCCTATGAGTGTCAGCAGTGTGGGAAAGCCTTCACTCGCCACACCTCCCTTCGATTACACGAAATAACTCACACTGGAGAGAAACCTTATAAATGTAAAGAATGTGGGAAAGCCTTTAGACATCACTCTTCCCTTCGACTGCATGGAAGAATTCATAGTGGAGAGAAACCCTATGAATGTAAACAGTGTGATAAAGCCTTTATTCGTTACAGTTACCTCCGATTACATGAAAGAACACACACAGGAGAAAAACCTTATGAGTGCAAACAATGTGGGAAAGCCTTCAGCCGTCACAGTTCCTTTCAGAGACATAAATCTATCCATGCTGTGGAAAGCCCCTTTGAATGTCAGCAGTATCTAATCCCTTTATCCCTGTTTCCTCCAAACACATCAGACAATGCCTATTGGTGAAAAACACTATGAGTGTGAACAGTGTGCTAAAGTGTTTATCCTTATCCACATGTGAGAGCAGAAGATGTCCTGTGATAAGTCTTGTCCATATGAACTATATAGTTTAGACTTCAAATTCTCAAAGGAATTGATGCTGGGCACAGTTTGTACAAGTGTAAGCAATGTGGTAAGTCCTTGGCTTCAGAGAAGCCAGTTCATGCTGGGGAAATGCCTTATGAATGGAGACAATGTGGTCAGTCTTCTAGCTCTATTTGCTTCAAGCACATGAAAGAACTTACAGTGCAGAAGGCTGTGAATGTCAGCAGTGTGCTGGAGCCTTCAGGAGGTGATGCAGGCTCCTTTGGTAATATGAGAGACATCTTACTAGAGGAAAAACCCATGATGTTTAGATGCCATTGCTCCCATAGATTCCGTGAATGAACTACTGGAAACAATTCTGTGAGTGGGAACAAAGATGTGACACCTTCATGTTCACAGTTCCTTTCAAAGATGCATAATGATTGATGATGGGACAAACCCTTCTTATACAAGTAAAGAGTATGGTACATTTTTGGTTGCCAGGAGATGGACAGATGTTTTTATTGGTAGTGTAGCTACCTGTAAGTTGCCTGTGCTCAGTAAGTCCAATTACATTCAGTGGCTCCCCCGGCTTCACTTGGATAGAATCATTTCTTTGCTTCTGTCCTCAGTGCCCTATCTGGGATGAATAGACACTTGTTCAACATGTGGCCAGGAAATGTTCACATAACACTTGGCGTCCAAATGTGGGACACAATGGAACCAAAGATGAGTTTGAGAGGAGCACTTGCCTTGTCTCTGCTGTGGGTGATGAGATATGCCACTAAAGGGAAGCTTTCTGTGGGAGGACCATCTGTGGTGTTCACTCTGAAGTGGCAGTCCTTCCAGTGTGCCGTGCAGCAGTGTGCCTTCATGTAGTGTCAAGTGGGTGACAAGTTTTGTTTGCCACATGGAGCCCCCCACCCCTGTACAGGTGGAACTGGATTAAGTGGGCATCAGGTGCACAGCCCTTGCGTTGGGTAATAAGACATGTGAATAAGGCTTAGCTGTCTACTAGCATGAACTCGCCCCTTGAATGGAGGAGTTACTTTGAGGGAAAGATGTGGAGATGTTGTCCATGGGATTGGCCTCCAAAATGGCAGGGAAACTAAGGAAGGAGGATGGAATGAATGAGCTGCTGGCTTCCAGTTTCTCACAGCCGGAGATGGCATAAGGGGAACAAATTAAAAGTTATATCTGTCAAGTAGTCCCTCGGGGATGCTGAAACTTGAAGCCCATGTAAAGCCTTGAGCATGAGGACGCTGTATTCAAAGGGAGTGAAGTAGAAGTGGTTATGTTGCCCTTAGGCCTGACCTTTAGAACAGAAGACTAGGAAATCGGGCGCAGCATGTGAGTGGAGGCCGAAATAGTCGCCCAGCAGAGGAAGTTGTGATAGCAAATATTCTGTCTTTGAGGCTGTAAAGCTTGAGGAAAGAAAACATCAATGAAGGAAGATCTGATAAAGTAGTGCAGCTGAGAAGTCTACTCTTTCCCTAGAGTCTTTTCCCCAGAATGAGTTGTATGCTCTCCTGCAGGAAAGGATGCTTGTGTGTAACTTGTTTGTTCAGCCCAGGGACCTCTCAGCAGCCAGGGATGTACGTCCACTGAAGAGGCAGCAGTGTGCTACAGCTTGGGCCCAGAGGCTGTCAGACCAGGGAGTCCGTGGGGATACAGCAGGTGAGCATATCTGGGTTTCCCCTTGGCCCCTATACCAATTAGAGAACAAGAGCCAGCTCCTTCCCCACCAAGGTTGCACTCAAGATGAGGGTACAGGTGGCTCGTTAAGAAGCACTAGATGGTGCAGGGCAGGGTACGACCTCCCATCTACACCACTGTATCCAATACTGGTTTGGGTTTATTTTTTGTTTTCTTGAGGCAAGTTCTTAGGTAGCCCATGCTGGTCTCAAATTCACTACATAGTCGAGGATGATCTTGGAAGTCCTGGTCCTCCTGCCTCCTCTTACCAAATACTGGGGTTGTATGCTTGAGTCTCCCTACCTGTTTTCCTGTGCTTTGAAACAAACCCACTCTCAGCTGTGCTATGTCCTCAGGTCAGCATTGAGGACACACTTGGTACAAGTGACAGTATCTTCGTGCTGTTGGGTCTTGTTAATTTATTTATTGCCTTCTAGCTCCTGAGTCCAGCTGGCACTTGTTTGGGATGGTGGCTTGTGGATCCTCAGTGATCCTGATGAGACCCCTGTGTAAAAAGGTGTCAGCACTGACATAATGCTAGCCTGTGAGTGTTCCACAGAGTTAGAAAAGCATCGTGTGAGCTGAAAGAGTGATGACCAGAGGGCACATGTGCACAGGGCAGGCACATGGGAAGTTCTTGGGATGTTATGGTTGGGTAAGACACAGGTGAGGCAAAACAAGGTGAATGAGGGAAATCCTTTATAACCAATGGCTAACATTAAACGTTAAAAGAATAGTTGAGAACCTTGAATGAAGGCACCCTGTGTACGTGGGCAAACATAGGCTCTTTAGTCAAGATGCAGTGTCAGGGGTGGGCTACTTCTCCAGCAGGTGTTGCCCACAGATGCCTCGGAAGTCCCCAGATGGTACTGGCTATTGCCAGTGCTATAAGTTGTCCCTAGCATTAGTGTTAAGACTGTTCCTGAAGACACACATGCTTTGGTTCCTGAATGTGGAGAAAGCAAGATGGCCAGCATTCGCTCTGAACCCTGTGTATTACTAAAATGTCAAGATGAGCCTGCTAGGGCTGGTAAGACAGGCACCCATCTGCAAAGGTGCTTGTTGCCAAGGCTGGCAACTTGAGTTAGATCTCAGAGCCCATGTGATGGAAAGAGAAACAAATCCTGCAAGTTGTCTTCTGATTTCTTCATTCATGCTGTGGCATGCATCTTCCTGGAACAATATAGAAATAAATGTAATATAGTCTCTAGGACTATAGTGGAATGATTTAATGAGAGTGACCAACTGCTTTCTGGTTGGATTGAAGGCTTGCTCTGCAGGGGTCAATTCACATCTCTTAAGAACCATCCACAACCTATGGCTTGACAGTCACAGGATAAAGCTATTGGTGTTTGCTAAATGGGTATATTTCTGTGAAATGACTGTTTCAAGTTCTGTGTTCATGCCTGCATAGTACTGCTCCAGTCATTTTTGGAAAGAGAAGTTCCTTTTTTCTGTAGGCAGTAGTTACTGATGAGACTTATCACCCCCTCCTAGACTTGACAAATTTCTAGAAAAGGGGGCAGCAGAGGAAGGGATGGCATGTTTTGGAATGCTGTCCTTTGAGCATGCCATTGCCAATCTTGAAATTCCAGTACCTGTGATGACCCGTAGGAGGCCTGCACAAGATTGAGGCCTTTCGTATCTATGCAGAGGGATGGGCATGGAGCCCTGGCACCTTCCCTGATGATTTACAGGCAGTTAATATTCATTGCAGGGAGGGATCAAGAGACCTTTGTCTCCCTGAATATATGTTTTTGTTTTGATTTTTCGAGACAGGATTTCTCTGTGTAGCCCTAGCTGTCCTGGACCTCACTGTGTAGACCAGATTGGCATTGAACTCACAGAGATCCGTCTGCCTCTGCCTCTCCAGTGCTGGGATTAAAGGTGTGTGCCACCATGGACCAGCCCATCCCTGAATATTTTTAGGCAGAGTCTCACAAGACCTCCCTCCTTTGGATATAAAAGCAGATGATTGTTGCTGGTAAAGTGAGAAACCCTTTCTTCAATGG